TTATGCAAACATAAGCTTAGTACTGCTTTCCACTCTTAAATAAATGGACAAACTGAGCATCAAAATCAAATTCTGGAGTAATACTTATGCTGCTTTATAAATTTTCATCAAGACAACTGGACTCAATGACTTTTCATAACCCAACATGTCTACAATCAATCTCAATATAGCTCCATGAGTGAAGTATCAGCAGTAGCTCTGATGGGATACCAATCAGATCTCTCTATCAATGTCAGCCAAGTGCCAGAGTGTTCAGTCATACACACCACAGAACATGCAGAAATATTGACAGACATTTACAGAAAGCTGAGTGATAAACTTCAACAGACATGAGACTCATAAAAGACATACTATGACACCAAGCACCTGCCACAAAGTTATAAGGTGGATGATTTAGTCATGCTTAACATCAAGAATCTTAAAATGATCTGCCCTGCAAGAAAACTTGATCACAACTTTATTGACTTATTTGAAATCATTACAGTCTGAAGGAAGCAATCATATAAGCTTCAACTATCTTCAATTTATCACAGCATTCATTCTGTCTTTCACATCTCCCTCTTGAAATCTTACACCAAATGTGAGAGAGTGCCACCACTGCCAGAGCCAGAACTGGTGGATGGAGAAGACAAATTTATAGTAGATGAAATACTTGACAAGCACATCTGACAAAAGAAAGTTGAATATCTAGTCTAATGACTTGAATGGGGACCACAAGATGACATGTGAGAATCTGAAGAAAATGTTGCAGATACAGAAATAATGAAAATATTTCTCAAAAAAGAGAAAATGTGAAATGCAACAAGATCATCAGTCTTAAAGTGCAGCAAACACTAAACATCTATCTTCAAAAATGCAAGATGCTCTATCTCTATAATGGACTAAACACCAACAGACATCTCATATGATTTAATGAAGCACTGAAAATAAAAAGAAGAGGTGCAAATGTTTTTTATTCAGATCTGAAGACTGCTGTCTACAGCAGACTTAAAATCCTGAAGGGCACAAAAAAAAAAAATAAAAAAAAAAAGAAAAATTGCCTGAAGGCCACAATCTAAGAGTGGGCATTATGTCATGCAAAAAATATTTCTTGTCTCTGAACAGAGTCTCATTGCTCCATAAAGTCCTTCAAAATGCCCTCAGTATCAGGTGAAAATTCACACAGTCTATGCTGCTCAGAGGCAAAATCACAAGTCTCATGCTGAACCAGAACAATCACCACAACTGCAGCCACTGTCTGAGATTGTATGTTGTCAGAGATGACAGCCCCACTGTCAGAATATTCTGATACAGCATGACTTTTCTTGCAGAAAGAGCTGACACCACTCTTATTAGTGATGCTTTCATCATCATCATCATCATTATTATTGTTGCTATTGGTGTCTGAGGTGGTGGAGGAGGTGGAGGCAGAGATAATGAATGGGGAATAATTATTGTTGAGATTACTGACAGTCTCACCAGATTGAGTAGCCTGCAGTGCACAGTGTCTAACAATATCAGCAAGAGCAGCTATCTGAGCTCTCTGGAATTGTGTCAGAGCTGTAGATTAATTAAGTTCAGCAACAAGCTGTTGAAGCTCATTGCAGTCAGACTGAGTGATACAACTCAATCTTCTATTGAAAAAGATCAGATTACAGAGATTGATGATCTGCTGGAGAGTCTCACTATTCTCTGTCTATCAACATACATCTGTCAGCACTATATTTATCAATAGAACTTGCTGGTAGCACATACAGAAATACAGAAACAATGTGTTTTGCAGCATTCTTCACACTTCTTTCTTTCTGAAAGAATGGCACAGAAAAAGTTGAGGTCTTTATAGTGAGAGAGGCAGCAGACACACAGAACACATCTATCAACAAACAGTATGTTAGCAAACAGCTGATACTCATGTCAAACAAACATGTCAACAACAGTATTATAAGCAAAAAGTTCACACAAACAGCAACAAGTTCTCATTGAAAAATGTGAAGACAGTAACAAAATAATAAAAGAAAAGCATCCACAGCAACAAAAAGTTCATGAAACATTAAGACAACAGAAATAGTCATGAAGATTGAGTATTATAATAAAGTCAACTACTGCATCAGAGCAGTAACTTGCACACAATAAGCAGCAAAGTAACAACAAACAACTTGTCCACAATATAGAATGTCTATCATTCTACATTCAACATGTTGATGAGACTCACAAAAGAGAGAACTTGATCATGGTGATAGAGAGACAGGCAAGCAACAGCAGACAGATGGATCAGATAAAAACACTTTCTTAAAGTAATGATGTTGCAGAAAAAAGAAGAGAAGAGAAAGAAGTATGATGGATTATAAATATTCTTTATTATTTACTCTGATATAGCACTAATTCCAATTGAGAAAAGACACTTTCAGCTTGATGAGAGTATTCATTTCAACACACCACATGTGACCCATCCAACTTACATCAGCATTCCACTTACATCACCACTGCTTATCTCACCACTCTGCTTATCTCATCATGCTGGCATCACTGCACCACATCTACACCCACACCCACACCCATATTACAGCTACACAACATCACTCAAGCCACCCATGTCTAACACTCAATAATGCTGCAAGCAGCTGAACAATTAGATATCAACACCTAATACTATACTGATAGCAACATCTATAGACTACAATGGTTGCTGGGGACAGCTTTCAACAAACAGGGGGGCAATTGTCATGTCAGGCTTCAACACTAGACTCTTTAGATCTTAGTAGCACACATCTTGCTTGTATATAATCCCTCAATGCTACCCTGTCCTTACATGGGTCAGCAATGAGCTCTATCTACTCATAGCATATATTATATACTTGCTTCCACCACACATTCCCTTATATTCTCTACACTAGTAGCTCATTCCTGTTCTGATTATACATCCATTAGACCTAGCTCCTCACAATCATTTACATTTGAAGATGCTCAAGTGTTTCTTGAGAAACATCTCTGCCACCCCTCTGCAAACATTACACAGATGCTGAAGAGAGACTGGATTTGTGATCTGCAACTGTGAGATGATCAGAATCTCAGATTGCATTGTACATTGAATTTGAAGAGTCTGATCATTCAAGAGATTGAAAAGCTTGTTCAGATCTTCTGCAAGCAATGTAAGAAGAGCAGTAATTTGTTTATAAATTGTGTGATTGTTCTGAGTCTTTTGTTTGAAGCTTGCATTAATTGTGTTCAGCATAGCAGCAGCCATTGTTATTTTCTGTGGATCAGTAAGTAATAATTTGAAAAAGTAAGAAGATTATAGAAATAGAAATTAACAGATTCTTTTGCATAGAGTTCTTTTATAGATGAAAGAGTCAATAAGCTGCAGATGAGCAAGAAGCTCTCATTTTTTCTTTAGCTTCAAAAATCACTGCATCTTCAGCTTCTGTTCTCTTTCTCTTCAGTCAGCAAGCTTCTGTCACTCATTATTACTGCTGTAAGATGACTATCACTTTCACTTTCTGATCAGCTCAAGCTTCTGCCACTTCTGCCCCCATCTGCTCTCAAGCTACAAGACTCTCCCACCACCTCATCACAGAAGCATTTGATGAGAAAGAAGAAGAAGATGAGAGAGATCATCAGACTGCTTGTTGTTAGAGACTTGTTACAATTATAAAGAAACTCATTACTCTCATTCATTTGATGATCTGCAAGCTAGCAGACTGTTAGTTGATTTTTGAGCTGTTAGAATATCTCCTGATTTTTTCTTTTTTTTTCTTTAATTAATGTCTGATCTTCAGACTGTTAAATTTTAATAAATACTTAACTGCAAAATCTTGAGTTTTAAAACTTTAGTGATCTTGATTTATTTTTGACTGTCTACTTACATGCTCATCTATGACATCTTAAAATAACTGTAAAATTTCTGAATAGATTACATTAGCAATCTTGCACTCATAACTCTCTGCATTCAGAACTGTCAGTTCTCTAATGTTAGTAGCTTGTGATAAAGCAATGTAAAGCTGGTCATGCACAAAAATCAGAATGTACAGATTCACCTCAACTGTATCAAGAGATTGGCTTTGTGATTTATTAATTGTCATGATGAAGCAGAGTCTAATGGAGAACTGCTTGCAGATCAGTATAAAAGACAGATTACTCTTATTTGAATTAATTTCTATATGTGAAATGAAGTGAATAGTCTCTGCTCAAGAGTCTGTAATAATCCAGATCAGAATGACATGAAAGTTCATACACTCAACAGTTAGACAGATTTCATTGCACAGATTTTCTCACAGATATAAGTTGTGGATGAGCATGATTAAAGCTTCAATCTTAAGCTTGATTACTGCAGATGACAAACTGCTAGAAATTAATAACTGTAGAAATTCAGATCTGTAGTCAACATCTGCTTCTTCTGACATGTCTGACTCAACTGTATTCATTAAGTAGTAGATGTGTTTCTGACTCACAAGCTTCTGCAAGCAATTCTTGTTGATCTTCAGTATAACATCATTTAAGCAAGTAAGAATCACACAGTCTGTGAAGAAATTGGAGTCATGATACACATCTTGAAGTCTCAATTGAGAGAAAATTTATTTGCATAGATTCTCAACTGTATTGATCATCAGTATGTAGTTCAGAAGCTCTATAATACTGTTCCAGTAATTCTCTTGCTTGTAGAAAAGTTCATATAGTTACTTAACATACTGTACATTGAGCTGGTTGTCTCTCAGCTGCATGTTCTGATAAAGCTGTAGAATCTGAAACTTGAGTCAGAACAATGAGCTTTGAAGATAATGAAGAATAATCTGACTCTTGTCACTGTGCTTAACTATCAGTAGTGTTTGTGCAAAGTCACTGCTTATTAAAACAGAAATGTCATTAAAGAAAACTCTTTCTGAAGTGTTATAAAGATTGCAGAGAAGCTGGTGAACAGTCTCAGAGTTATAATAAGACTGCATTAAAATCTCATCTCATATAATGAAATCTGTAATTTGTAAAAATCTGTCAATAGTAAAAGTCTTTGTAATATTTATAAATGAATACAGATCTGAATTAATGAGAATTCAGAACTGTGAGTGAGCAGTTAAATTATCAGACAACAGAAGTGCAGCAATACTGAAGAAAGTCATGCATATAATATTGTAATCTTATTGAGTGAGCTGGCTGTATAATGTCTGATAGATATAAATCTTACTGATTTCATCTGAACTCTGAATGTAAAAGAGTGAATCTGCTTCTCAACTCTTAACAGTCTGTAATATCTGATTATAACAGACACACTGCTCAGTATTAAAAGTATCTGAATTCAACTGCTCAACAGGTGGCTGGTTGTAACAGTTACAGATGCTTAATACTTCATCAATATTACTTCAGTCTGTGATTTCACCACTGTCTATTGTATAGCATTGTATATTTCTTTTCTAGTCTAGTCTCTATCACATATAGATCTCATCTATAAAGTCTGATGATTCTCAATGCCTACTGGCATCAGATCCACTGTTGTACATATATATAAATAGTCTAGTTCTCCTTCAGTAGAGAGACCAATTCATCTTTGATTCTCATATCACATCTGGTAGCATGTCAAGTTCTTCTCATTGAAAGTGAAGCTTTTTTAGTGAAGTGAACATCTCTGATGAGGTGGTCAAAAGATTCTGTCTTATGATTTGAGAATCTGCTTTTGCTACTCAACTTGAGAACTTCAAAAGATTGCCAATGAGACTTCTTTTTATGAGACTGTCTCAACAAGTCAGAATCTTAACAGAGTTTTTTCTTTGATGATAAATATCTCATTCTTTTCAATCAGATTCATGCAGCATGACTGCAAGATAACTGTTTATTATACCTCACAATAACTATCAATTCTCAATATCTATCATTGCATCTATGTTGGACAATATCAAAATAACTTTCAGTCTTGAAGTCTCAACTGGCTCTGAAGTCTCAATTTCTATTTCAAGTTACTTTGCTGAATCAAATCTTCTGAATCATCTGACAATTTGTGATATATTGACAGTTTTATGAAAATGCATGATCAATAATAAAGTGTCTGCTGCAGTGAGTAAACAACTGGAAGCAGCTTTATGCTTGTTCAGAGCAGAAGCACAGCATATCAGATAATAAAAGAGAAAGATTCAAGCTGATGAAATTTGAGGCAACATGAAAAATGAAATCTGATGCATGAGAGAAGAGATGATTGGGTGATTAAATAACTTGAAGAGATGGCAATCTGTCTTCATCAAGCAATTGAACAGACAGACACAGTCTACATCATTCTCTAATGCTTCAACTGCTGGTGTACTGGTTGTGAACATACTGATCATTAATGCATCAATTACTAACAGAAAGATATCAATCTGAAAAGTCTCTGAACTTGAAAAATTAAAAGAATATAATGAAAAAATAACTGATGATGTAGTCAACAAGTGACTTTCCAAATGTCAATTGTACTGAAATCAAGAGAAAATCTCATCAAAAAAGAAGCAATCAATTCTCAGAAAGTTGCTCTAGTCTCAATCTGACTTACTGAAAATACAGTTCAATAATGAGCAGCTGAAGAAGATCTAGCAGACTGAGATCTGAATAATCACATAATGTCAATAATGTGACAAGAATTTAAAAAATGAATCACAACATAATACTCCAAGCTCAACACTGACAACTATTAATGAAAGTGTCTCATGAATATCAAGCAAAAAGAAGATGTTCAATTCTTCTTGATTGAACTTGATCAGGCATATATTGAACTCAGATACTCTCTATCAGAATTTGTCTATATTCAGTTACTATTGAACAGACTGAAATCTGATGTTCTAGCAGAATGAAAACAAGAACATTAAAAGCTGATGACAAGAGACACTATTGTGAAAGTATTGAAAAACATAGAAGAAGTTATGGAGATGGTGAGAGGCTGATCAGCTTGAAGAAATTATGTCAAGACTCTCAACTCTGATGCAATGAATCTGAGTGTGATGAACACAACTCTTGACAATATAAAGATTGACAAAATCAATGCAATGCTTCAAAAACTGAATTCTCCAAAGAAGAACTCATGAATGTGGCAACTGTGATGCTGTAGAAACAAAGCTTGTTATATTTGTGGTCTGAGAAGCTACAGCATGGGCACATGCTCAGATAGAAAGAATTCAGATAAGAAACATTCAAGAAGAAAGAGAAAGAAAAAGAACAATGCAAAATCTGAATTGAGAAATGAGAGAAGTCAGTAAACACAGAGGCACTTGCTGATATTCTTTATGAAGTTTCTCAAATTGATGAGATTTTCAATCTCCTCAACTCACTGAATCCAGCAGAAGTTCTTAAGTTGAAACTCTCTGATACCAAAATAATTTTAACAGATGTCAAACATCTCAATGCTGCAGAATTGAGAATGATGCTTTATCAAGAAAAGATAGTAATGCTGAATTCTGATAGAGCTGAAACAGTTTGAGTTTTATTGAATTCAGAAGCATCAATCAAGTTTGTCAGTTAAGATCTAGCAGCAAGAATAGAAGCAAGACTCATTCTCTCAAGAAAAGTCATTTAATTACTGAACAGAGAACATATGTGGTTCAATTATCAGATCTATCTCTATCTTGAACTCAGCTTATTTAAATGTCAAATCACTGCAAGAGTTCTCAACAACTTTAAATATAATCTGATTCTTGAAAAGATGTGGCTGCAGCATTGAAATCTGCATATAAGCTGAAAATTGTCAACAATGTCAATCATCAATCAAAAAAAGCAGTGCCACACAATACTGTCTTGTGACATGCAACAATACATACTAGCTGAAGCTGAAAGGCTTAATCTAATAATGACTCATCAGTTAGCATGCACACTTTGAAAGTCTATAATGGAGTGTTTTCTATATGTGCTCAAGAAAAAGAAAGAGAAAGAGAAGAAGAATACTTCTATCAAGAATTCTAGATTGAAAAAGTTGCTTGATAACTATAGTGATGTTTTTCAGAAGAATTTACCACTGAAATTTTCATCAGATTGACTGTTTAAAATGAACATTAACATGAGAGATTCAGATCTGATAAATATCCACATCTATTCTCTATTGCAAGCACTTCTGAAAGAACAGAAGTGGCAAATCAACAATTTTTTGAAATAAGAACTGACTCAATCATCAGCTAGCTCTTGAGGTTTTTCTGTTCTATTCATGAAGAAGATAGAAGAAGCATGATGAATGTGTGTTGACTATCAAGTTTTTAATAAAATCATCAAGAAAAATAAGTATTTATTGTCTAGAATACAGAA